CGTAACAGGTCTAACACCCCTATCAACACTATTATGTTATTTAAGAGGCTGGACTTAAAGAGTTTAAAGTTCATTTCCGAAAGGTCCGAGCCAATTAATGGAAAATTCATATCAAATTGCCTTTCCCACGGACAAAACGTCGGACCGAGGTGTGGCTCGAATCTCTGATCCAGCAATCTCACGACTACTGGTCCGGCAGCTTAATCACTGTAGGACACCGATGCCACCTCTAAGATTAGAGGTGCTACAAGAGTAATAAACATAAAAAAGGAGAAATCAAAGAATTGCATTAAAAAATGCTTATTTTTTTTACACCGAATTTCTCAAAACTAGGTACTGAGCAGGAAGAACTTTGTACTTCTGAGGTAGCGACATGTCACTACAACATGAGCAGCGGCTATGGTGGGCAAGAGGAACACAGAGCCGTCATCAAACATAATAATAATAATAGTTTTAAACAAGATACAACCGGGTTATCAAAACGGTGAAAACGATCCTCTTTGGTAACAGCCAAAAATCGAATCCCCCCCCCTTTCATATAGCCCCCTGACATTGGAGCAAGCAAACACACACGCCCGCCTTCCGTAGAACAATTGGAAAGCTCACGTTAAACAAACAAAATGGTCTTCAACTGAACCAACACGCGTTCCTTTTTACTTATAGGTATACAGTATAATATACGGAGAAATGGTAAAGGTTTAACGCCTCTATTAACACTGTTAGGTTAATTAATAGGCGGGACCACTCCGAAAGGGCCATGCCAAATGTGAAATTCGTGTAAAGTGCCTTTTCCAAGGGCAAAACGTCAGACCAAGCTGACACTCGAAACCAAAAATCCGCAACCTCATGACGACGGGTCCTGTAGCCTAACCACTAGGTAACCGGCGCCACTGGTGTACTGTAAGTCTGCACGATTAAGACAACATGTTTTTGATTGATGGATCGAGAGGGTGTTTTATGGCTCTATAGACTCAACTTTGGCCAAGACAACATGTCAACACAAAAAGGAAAATTAAACAAGTGATTGTTAATGTTATACGCTCCCATCAACAAAACTTAGATCATTTAGGAGGCCGCGTGGACGGTCCCTGTCCGTCAGGGCCAACCCAGGTTGAGAGGAATGCACTATCCCAGCAAGAAGACGAAGATACTCGATAAAAATTCTCCCCATCCGGTAATCGAACTCGCGTCTTTTGCGTGCGACAACTACATCATCGACGCCGGTATATCAATGTGGTGAGTACATTATGAACAGTGCAAGGTCTTTCTGCTGGGGCGTTATGTACCTTTGAGACCCGGTTTATCCTGACAAGCAGGGTTCAAGCCCGCCTGCTAAACTATTTACATGGTGTCGACGGGGGCGTCAAACACTTAACAAAAACAAAAGAGGGTGAAATGTCTTAAAAACTTCCCCAAACAATCAAACCTAAGAGAGAGCCCCACTTGGGATTCGAACCAGCATTATCTTTAGTTAAGTTTTGGTAGAGGTTTTACGGCGCTCGCAACTGCATACGGTCATATGAGCGCCAGGAGATTAGAGGTGTTACAAGAGAGCAACGAACATTAAAAAAAAGAAGAAGGGGAGATAAGGACGATAGATGTTTGATAGGAAAGAAGAAGCAAACCACACCAGAGCACCCACCAACCACCCACGAACCAGCATTATCTGCACTAGGGAAAGCTTCGTACCAACTGACCAAGAACTGATTAGAAGAACCAATGACATTCAGAAGAGTTAAACGGAGCAGACAATACACTGATGCCCCACCCTCCCCCAAACTTTTCTAAGCATTCATCGTCCCAAATCATATTGGCGTCAGCACAGGCAAAAATGTGTTCTTGGTTTTAAGTGAAAAGAAGCCCGGGTTTGGGGGGGGGGGGAGGGGGGAACGAGGAAAAAGAGGGGGTGGGGGGAGAGGGGGATGAGGAGGGAGTGAGGGACTCTCTTTGATGAGTCAAATTTCTGCGTCTGCCAGTAATGCAAGGCAATTTACTCAGCTAACTTCGCGGTCCCCACTTTGTACCGAAGACAAGTCTCCTTTGACACAGAGAAGATCTGAGTGGTGAAATAACCCACACTCGCACAGTGCCTTAATAAGGGACCGGAGATGACTCAAACCAAATTATTCAGCTCAACGTACAGAGATCAGATTGGTGTCACGATTTAGACCGCCATTAGTAGCGCACTTTGTGACCGCACTTAAAGGGAAGCGTGCACAAACAGACGCCCAATGGACACCGGTTCAAATTCTGAACCCCGACGTACTGCAGTGTTGGACAAGTTAGTCGACATCTGCACCACAGCGACCGTCGTTCTGTCTGTACCAACAGGTAAAACGGAGCTTGCACTGTATACTTCCCAAGAAGTTGAGGCTGTTTCAGAATGCTATCAGTATCAGGTCCGTTGGGGTAATTATGTAGAGTGATGTTGAGCGGGAATTTGTGCGATATAAATGTTATCTGTTATTGTTGTTACTATTAGTATTATTATTATACCAGTTCATAACCAAAAACAGCAAGTTTTTTTCAGTAAAGAGAAATACATATACACAATAACGGTATTTTTGCAAAGAAGAAACAAGACAGATAGACAAAAATAACAAAGCTGAAAAAAAAAGAAGCAGAATCTACCAGCGGCGCCCTTCAACCACTCGTAGCATGCACTTGCCCAGAGCTAGTCGTCCCAACTATGCATCAAGAACACCAGCCTTTTAGCGAATCCTTTCTCTCTCTATATATATAATATTATACAAGTGACTTAGTTTATAAGAATTTTTACACACAATAAGTGTTGCTGTAGCAGGAACGGTATATTCACATATATAATATAATATCATACCTAATTGCGCAGAAACTCAAACCATATGGCTAAATAAAAAGATGAAAATAAACATTTTTTTAATGAAAAAAAAAATTAGGCTTGTGAAAGTAGAATTCAGCTTTCAAGATATCATCTATTTTATTTGCGTCCCTAATGCTGCATCCAATCAGAGAGAATTCTTATCAAATTGCCACCAGTCAGCACCGTTCGATAACCTACTTTAAATACTTATTTTTTTCTTTTACCTCATATGACGGCATGGCGGTGGGTAAGACAAATTGACTCGCCAACAACCCACCCACATCTTTGTGAGCAACAGCAAAAAGTCTAACCATTAATGGCACAAGACTCTGGTCCAGCCCATTGATATCATAACTACACCTGGTGACGAATAAACTACTTTAGTTTAGTAAGAGTTTTACGTCATTTGCAACACCATAAGGTCATATATGTGCCGAAGAATAGATGTGTTACAAGAGAGAAACATAAACAAAAAAAGGAGGAGAGATAAGGACATGTTTGATAGGAAAGAAGCACCCGCCAACCACCCGCAAATAAACTATGACCCCGCCTAAAAAAAACCCCAAACAAACCCAACAACAACAAAACAAACCCCACCAAAAATCGTAAAAGAGAATACAGGACCAGACCAGTTCAGAGCAACCACTAGTGTGCCCTTGGAAAGAAAAAAAAAGGAAGGACAAAGAAAGGGGATAAAATAGAAAGAAATTCCAGACATTGCACACCTTGTTGAAGACAAGATTGTCCGTAGTGGAAGGCAGCAGACCTAACGCTGGACGGAGTACCAGAGAGATTTCCTACACACGGGGGGAGGGGGGGCATCACGTCACGTAACAGCATTGTCAGGTGTCACGTAAGTAAAAGATGCGGTCACACACATGCCACGTACGTAACAGCTACCGATGTTACGTCAACAAATCACATAGTATGTCACGTTTAAACAACAGTTACAGATTATGTCACGTAAACAACAGATGCAGATATCACGTGAACAAATCACAGACATCACGTTTAAAACAACAGTTACAAATGTCACGGGAACAAAAGTAACAAATTTAACGTAGACAACAGTTGCAAAAGTCAGGTAAATACCACTTACAGATGTCACATAAATACCAGTTATATGTAACATGTAAACAACAAAGTAAGATGTGACGTCACGTTAACAAGTAAACGATTCATAGAGGTATGTCATGTAAACTAGTCACAGATGACACAGACTCTAGGCGAACCAGCACCTAGATTTCAACAGGAGGATACAGCTACAGGGTGCTCAACACATGATACATCTTAGCACCACGCTCACGCCTTAAATAGAGACGCACACTCTCTCTCTCTCTCTCTGTGTGTCTGTCTCTCACTCTCTGTCTCTGTCTCTCTCCCTGTCTTTCTCGTTCTTTCTCC